CTTGGTTCTGTTGACGGGGTGGGGCGCCCCGCTTGTATAATGGTAGGGTAAACACTGGGATTGATCAAATATGAAAGATTTAAGCGTGGTCTTAAAAGCAGACAGTGACCACCTCACAGACAGAAACTGGAAGTTGGTTCCACAAGAGGAGCCTGAGAACTGAAATATCTTCCTCCAGTGATAATCTTATTTACAAGGTGGTACAGGTCTACATAGTTAAATAAAGGTCAAATAACTAAACTTTTAGTAGCTCTAGGAACCATGAGTAAACCTGCAGTCTGAGAGCAAATTGCTTTGTTTGGAAAATATGGAACAATAAGATCATTATTATAAGATGGAGCTTGGTTGTTGAGAGCTTTGTATGTTAGAAGCAAGATTTTAACTTCTATATTGAAATTTACAAAGAGTTTCATACTGTCCTTTCTGTCATTTTCTCCCTGATGCTTGGAGATGACTCTACATCCCCCTGCCTGGGGGCAAGCAGACGTTGATTATTCTCCCTGTGCAACCCAACAAAATCAACAGCCATAACTGTCCTCACAGGGAGCCTGCAAGGACAGACTAATGTGGGTTTCCTTGAGAGAGGAAGCTCCGGGGTTCCCGTCCCACCTATAAACTAAAGATAGAAGATGATTGGAGCGTTGAGTATTTCCTGCTTTCTGTGTATCTCCGTTTGTCAGACTTGGCAACACATTAAGGCAGGCAGAAGGTAGAAATCATAAAATATCTAAAATCTTTTTAAAAAAAGATAAATTCTTTAAAGTTTTTACCCATATGCGTTTGCAGCATTAGCAAAATACTCCATGAACATGAACAAATTTTAACGTGGTATCTACGTCTACAACTATTTAACTGGTGTCAGCTGGAATCAAGATGGCCACCACAGCAGACTAACATTGGCAACATAAAAATGGCTAGAACTCTATTTAACATATATTGAGCTCAGATTTGGTGTGGTAGTAGCTGGAAGTCATCCTCAACACAAACTCCCAGTGCTACACATAGATGTGTGTTTTTACGCTGCTGCTCTGTTGTTTTTGCCACAAATGTTATCCCTCGAGGTCAGTGAGTCACTCTGAAAGCTCTCCTCACTTGAGTCATTATGGGCAGATGTGAGTAAGCACCTACACACACATAGTCTGTCAATCTTTACAGGGACTTTGCATTGACTACCCTAAACCTAACCATTACCAGTACATACCTAACCCTAAAGCTAGCCCATCCCCCATTCACACCTTAGTCCTAAATCTAACCCCTAACTCTAAACTCAATTCACACTTTAGTCTTAAACCCATCTCTTAACCCAAAAATGGCATTCTACCCATTTAGGACTGGTCTTTGGACCCTAAAAGGAGGACTACTGGTTACTTCTTATACCAGAAAATGTCCTAAAGAAGTAACAAAAACCAGTACATACACATCATGGCGTCTTTATAATGTCTTTGGTGAAACCCTGTCTTCCTCTTGTCTTTTATGTCTCCGATGCCACCTGTCTGAGTGTTCGTTCACGGTTGACGAATGTCTTCCAGGCACAGAACTGCTCTGTCTCAGTTCCTGGGACAGTTGGACTGATCTGAGACCAGCCACTGTCTGCTGAAAGAGCAACAAAACGTCCAAGAAAAGGAAAAGCTAGAGCCGAGGCCTATTTTGTTCCCGCTCCTTCCTCCTTTTCATAAATTTCCCCCCCTATATAATTTGGCCGGTCCAGATTTATGGCTTTGAAAAGCTACGGTGGTGTTTTTCAGTTGGGTGGGGCGAAGAACGGGGATAATAGTGATGTGGAGCTGAATGCTTTCATTCCCTGAGGGGAGAGGTTAGTGCAGCTGTTCTCCAGATGTCAGACCGTCTAATTCTTTCAAACTGGAGGGTCTAATGGTGTGGTATGTATGTGTGTTTGCAGGGGGGTGGGGTGTTGCGGTGCCCATTTGAGGGCAGATTTTAGAGTTACAACGTCTTGTTTGGGGAAGTTAGAGTTTTTCCTTGGGTTGGGGCCTGTATTAGTTGCAGCTAATTTTAGGCTAAGCCAGCACCATGTGTCCTAAAGTAAGCTCTGCTAATGTGCAATAAATGTGCATACATCTGTACTTCATGACTTTCACATCTCAAAACAAGTGTCGGAGCCACCACAGCCAGATCAAAACCAGCCGGCAGCAGATTAGTCACACATCCAGACTCGAGACAGACGACAGGAAGCAGATCGATATCTCTTTGAGTGCATCATGAAAGCTGTTTTATGTTTGTATTTAGATCATAGGATTTATTAAATCTCTATTACTTTGATGTAAAGAAAAAATGCTATAAATGCTAAATGCTATAGCCGTTTTTTTCATTTGCTAAAGTCAATTAGCCGTAGCCTTCCTAACAAATGAACTCATGGTAGATGTGCATCCAACGAGGACTTCCATTAAAATCCATCCATCGGTGCATGAAACGTTTTCCCAACATGACTGAAGTTGTGATTTTCTCCAAATTAGCTAAAACTACCGGTAAATAATCTGAACTTGACTCGCAGCCTTTGTGTTAAAATGTTCGTTCTTCAGGCGAATTAAATATAAGACGAATCATAGAACAGCGTCTGTCTCAAGTGTTGCTTTTTGTCAACTGGAGGAGGTGAAAATTTGATGGAATGAAGAAAAAGATGAACCAACTTCACCCTGGAGGGAAGTGAGCTGATTGGTGCTCGTCAGTGTTGATGAGTTTTGCTGACGGCAGCACCGGGTTTTATGTAAAACGCAAAACTGAAGGTTGCATGAGACGTTTGCAGCAGATAGAACTGAATTTGTCCCGGCTGCACATTCTCTGTCGGTTCCTGCAGTAACGCCTGATAAGTGCCCCCAAAAATATTAGGCATGAAAAATATGTCAGCATTGCAAAAATAAATAAATAAATAAATAAACTACCTGTCAGCTGTTGTAGGACTTAGCGTCAGTTTCTCATTGTTGATGTGCAACGTTTGACTTCTGCTAACCCCAAATATCTGCTCTGCAGTTGTAATCGTGTTAAAAACAATTGAACTCAATTCAGTTCATTTATTTACTGTAGCACCAAGTCACAGCAGAAGTCATCTCAGGGCACTGAACAGAAACATGCATCTATATAAAGTAAGTTAACAAAATTAATTATCTGAGGAGCAGACCGTTTTGAGTTTAACTCCATCGCAGACTCTCATCTTGAGCAAGCATGAAGGCGACAGTGGAAAGGAAAACTCCCTCATGAGGAAGAAACCTTTAGCAGAACCAGGCTCAGAACAAGCGGCCATCTGCTTCGACCGGCTGGGTTTGAGACAGGAAGGAGGAACAGATACACAATGGCAGGTTGAGAATCACGTTAAGATAGAAATAGTATTGAAAGCTTGTCAATTGTAACAATTCATTTTAAGGAAATGAGGTCAATTTGTCCTCCAGTAGTCTAAGTCTATGGCAGCATAACAAGCCAACCCTAACTATAGGATTTATCAAAAAGGAAAGTCTTAATCCCAGTCTTAAAACTGGGCAACGTGTCAGCCTCACAGACAGAAACTGGAAGTTGGTTCCACAAGAGAGGAGCCTGATAACTGAAAGATCTTCCTCCCATTCTGCTCTTGGAAACTCTAGGAACCGCGAGTAAGCCTGCAGTCTGAGAGCAAAGTTCTCTGTTAGGAAAATATGGGACAATAAGATCTTGAATATAACATGGAGCTAGGTTGTTGAGAGCTTTGTAGGTTAGAAGTAGGATTTTGAACTCTATATAAACAGTTTTATTGTCCAGACATGAAATTAAAATGAGTCAAAGCTTGTTTGTTTAATGTCATCAGAAGAAACAAGAATTTCTCAAAGGAATGCTTGTCGCCCGCCACATTCATGCCAAGGTTTTAAACTAAGCTCCCTTGCCATCTGTTAGTGCTCAGAGTATATGATGGGGATGACTCTCGGCTATTAACACGCCAAACTTTAGCCTTCAACTTTTAGCCGTTTTTTTTTTGTTTTAGTTGAGCTTATTAGCTGTGGCAGCCATCTTGAATTAGTTTGACTCCAAAAGTGAATCAGTTGTAGTCGTATGTACAACATAAACCTTCTGAGACATTCATTAAAATCTGGCCAGCATGAATATTTTGCTAACAGACAACTGAAGCTGTAGTTCATTTTAAAGTTACGGCCAATTTAAAAAGCAAAATATAATAAATCTGCAGGGGTTTTTTTTTTTTTTTTTTGTAAAAACTTGAAGTTAGAGTTCCTGTGTTCTTAACTTCCTGTAGTGAGTGTTGTAAGATGTTGAAGAACTTAAAGCTACAGGAAATAATCATTATTTTTTAATTATATTAGTGAGTCTGTATGTGATGAATCTAGGAAATACACAAACATATTTAAACTTGTGCAGCAATCTAAGTGTAATAATTTCCAAAACGCAGAAGACGGTGGCATATTTTTAGTATTTGATCATAAGTTTGTCCAGTTTTATTTATTTTAAGGGCATTTCCAGTGTTGCTCATCCGTCTGTTCATGTCTGTGTGTTATCAGAGGAATCTGATTTGTTGTTTTTAGTCCGTGGAAATATAAACTCAGAAAGATATATTTTCTTTGGACGCTGAGTCACGGACAGTTTCCTTCTCAGCAGTTTTGAAATCTTGTCCTGAATAAACTCGCTTGGTTGAGCTTGTTGAGAAAGAACAGATTTGTTTGTAAGAAATTAACTTTAACTGCTTAATTAACTCATTTAGATTTTTTTTAATTGTTTAATGTTTATACTTTTTTGACGTTTAATGTAAAGTTTTGATTTAAATCACACAGCCAGTATTTTGAGGGCTTTTATCGGCGCTTGCTGTGTTTTCTGATTCAAAGTAGCTACAGTTTGATGAAATCTTCAGCTAACTTTTGATCCTGGCGTCTTCACACGTGCAGAGGTGAAAGAGTACGAGCCACCGTTTGGGAACCTGAGGGAACACCCGTGTGTGGAGAGCATGAAGGACAGTGTGGTCAGAGACCGAGGAAGACCTGAGATCCCCAACAGCTGGACCACACACACGGTAAGAAGCCTCACACTTCCTGTCTGCTGCGGATGAAAACTTTCATCTTCTAACGTCCAACAAGCAGTCGGAGCAGAACTCTCAAATGGAACAGCCTCACTTTTCTCCTGGATGTAACAAGCTCAACAAAAGTAACAGTAATCTCCATATCCTTCGTTACTAAGCGTAACGATGTAAACAGATGAACACGATGCAATCTTTGCAAAGCCCTTTAACTTTACATTTATCTAACAAAGTTAAGTCAGGTCCTCTGGACGGATTCTTCTTGTTGAAACGTTTCGTCTTTTACCCAAAAGACTTCTTCAGTCTGAGGAGCTGCAACAAACTCAGTATTATAAATAGCACCTTCTCATAGTGGATCCAGTTTGTTGTTGACAGCCAAAACTAGTTGTTCACATGATCAAGGAGGATCATCAGGGCACTAACGACCGATCGTTAGAGCCTGATGGATGCTTGCTATTCACAGGGGGCTGAGTGATACTAGCAATAACAGCATTGTAAGAGGGGGACAGTTGGACACAGAGGCCTCCGCCCCGTTTAATGATTGTTGCAGCGTGAGCTGCTGAGGGCCCCGAGCTGCTGCAGCTAGTTGATGCTAGCTGTGGGCCTCAGGTCTCATCTTGGACCCCAGGCCCGCCTCCAGCTCGAGTGGCTCTCAGCTTGCACTCCCTCAGAAGTAGCAACTCACACTATCAATAAATCAAGGAAACGTGAATTAAAGTTTACCAATTGTTTTAAAGCAAGGCAGGAAAAATGACAGTTTACAGCGCTGGCCTCTCCGATACAATTCGACGCGAGATCTTGGACCAGAAGGGGCGAATGACACGTTGTTGTCCATCTATATGGGGCCTAGGCTCCGCCTTCTTCCGGGAGCACTGCCTGTCAAGTGGATAGAGGGGCAAACTAAGTGTGATCTCATTGGAGCTTATGTGGTCTGACGTGTCAGGAAAAATGATACGGTGCAGAAAAAGCTTTTTCTACACGATGTGGCGAGCCAATAAAGAAATATCAAATAAATAAAAACTCTGTTCCTTGACGTATGTTGAATTCCTGGGAGGCTCTTTTTTTTAGAGTTGCTGGCCCTGTTTAAACCAGTCAGAACCAGGTCATAATCTCTTTACAATCTGTCTCTGAGCAGATCAAAAAACCCTGGCTCAGTCTAGATAAAATACTAACATGATGGACAGGTTCTCTTCACAAAGATGGCCTCCTTTACTCCTCTCTCAAACCATCGTTCCTCTATCCAGGATGTGCACATCTTCATCCCTGAACAAGTGACCTGTGGCCTGGAGATGAGGGTAGACCGCAGAGTCCTGGCCTGATGGTGTTGCTCTTCTCTTTACATTTGATTAAAATTAATGCAAAAACAGAAAGAAAGACATATTTAACTAGTTACACTTCCTGGGCTCTAGTAGCTTGGTGGCCAGCACCGTGGTCTTGTAATCCTGAGGTTGCAAGTTTGAGTCCAGGTTGCGTCAGGAAGGGCACCCGGCGTGAAATTGTCAAATCATTCACGCGAGTTGGCTCACTGTGATGATCCCTGAAGAAGGGAGCAGCCGAAATAAACTTTTTTATGGGAATCTAAAGAAAACGCATGGAACAAAACTTAAAAACGAGCTGTAGTCATTTTAGTTAAACCTCATTAATGACGTTATGTACAGTATGATCTGCAATATTCTCAGATGTCACTCCCATAGTGTGATGTGAATGACTCTCAGCTACTACCTCAATTTTTTAGTTGTTATCTTTAAAACTTAAATAATTTTAGCCTTTTTTTTGTGTTTGCTGATGTTGATTATCTGTGGCAGACATCTTGAATTGGATTGGCTCCAAACATTAATCAGTTGTGGACGTTCACCCAGTGATGAGTTTCTGAACGTTTCAATAAAATCCGTTCAAACGTTTATGCAATAGTTTGCTAACAGACAAATGAGCACGCAGACCCAGGCAACGACAAAACTGTCCATTCGCCTTCTGTAGTGGGCGATAAATGTGGGCAGAAGACCAGATTAAAGCTGAGGTGTTGACCTTTGTGACTGTGGTCTGCCCCCCTCCCCCGCTGCAGGGCATCCAGATGTTGTGTGCCACCATCGAGGACTGCTGGGACCACGACCCGGAGGCCCGTCTGACAGCGCACTGTGTCGCCGAGCGCTTCGATGACATGGAGCTCATGGACAAGCTGTCAGACCGCTCCGACTCGGAGGAGAAGATCCCCGAGGAGATCATGACCGTGGATGAGAAGTAGACGCTGAACAGAAACACTGCCCCCGTCAGGGCGAGCGAGGCATTACAAGCTCGAGAAGAGGACGAACTGTCGTCACACAGATGAGCAGCAGAGGAGCAAACTGGAATATCAGGATGAAGTTATGAACAAACTTGGGAGACCAAATTCTGCCATTTTTAAACCAAATACTACTTGCACTTTACAAATATCTATGCACACCAGATGATCAGTGTCTCCTGTTTTAACGAAACATTTCAGGTTTTTATAACAAAGAGACTGCGCACGTTGAATCTGGAGGCGTAAAGAAAAGAACTGCAACGTTTTTACTCTAAATCTCTTCTGGTGGGTTTCTGTTTAGGAAACTGCAAAGAAAACGTGTGCAGGAAAAGCTAATGGTAAGAACTTTAAAATAAAGATAGCTAAATCAACCTGAAAGGTGAATAACGCGCAAACTTGTACAAACTTGTTCCACCCTTTTAAAAAATATATTTTTCTTTTAAGGCTAAACCTTCTTGTGCCTGAACATTCTCAGGAGGAACGTGCTTTTGTTGAACAACCAAATACAAATCTTTGAATCTTTTAGGCTAAAACACCATCACTCCTACCTCACATATCTTAACTAAGCAGCTTTAAATGTTTTCTATAGGCATGTTGCTGTCAGCACACTTCTTTTACATTTATTTCCAAATGAGGCCAAAGATAATGCAGTTTTAACCAAAGAGTAGTTTATTTTTGCACGAGTCCACTTTAAGGGATTACAAGAAAATCTGTGACTAGAAGCAAAATATGAAAAATAAGGGGTGGTTGTAAGAATTTAGCATTAAGCTGTAAATAAAATGTTTATGTGGCTGGATTTAAATTTAAGTCCGTCCGGACAAACCAAAGAAATAAGGAAGCAGAAATGTCGTATTCAGGATGCTAAAGTGGAGCAGAAACAAACTTTTCTGTGTTTTGTATTACTTTATAATTTTGTTAACGTTTAAATGTCTTTTTTGCAGAAAAGTGAAGTCTCAGCGCTAGGAATTTGGTTTGTATAGGATCTTTTGTATAAAACTTTGAATTTAAAATTAAATGTTCTAAATGTATTGTGTTTACTGTTTGAATACAATTTCTACAAACGTTTAATGATTAAACATATCAATATGAATACATTTTATTTATTTATTTTTACTTGCTAATGATAATTCTACCTGCAAGATGCCATTAGCACCAAGACGAGATCAGCTAGCGTAAATTACTGGATTAATCTTAGTGGGAAGAGCCCAGATGATCAATTTGAGATTTTCAAACCAAGCTGGGGAAAGGAAAAGAAAGACGAGAAGCCTTGAATAGAAGATTGACCAGAAAAGAAAAATAATTCATGTAAACACTTTAGACATTAGTCAACAAGACCACTCGCTGCATCAGTTGATGCGACACAGATGGACAAGAAAAAGGACAAACGATTTTTAATTCACATTCAATGCAGGAGCATACATACATTTATTTATAAAGCACATTAAAAACAACATCTGGCCAAAGTGCTGTACGTTAACACATACAAGCAAGCATAACAACCATAAAATCAACAGATACCGTACTTTGGAACCAGCACTGGGCTTAAACAACAAGACCTCGGTCTTTTTCTTCATTAAAATGTAAAACATTCTGTTACATCCACGTTCTGACTTCTGTCATACATTCCAGCAGTTGATTGAAATGTTTTTTTTAATTTAAACTACTGAGTTGTTGTTTGTTTGTTTTTTTATCAAAGCCACAGGATTTATTTTCAGTTTGTTTTGCATAGATGGACAAAAGTGTCACACAAGCTAAAGATGCTACCAAAATGCTAGCACTGCTCATTACGTCTGCATTGAGCCGTTTAACAGATACATCTTTGTTTAGCACAAAGTGTTGTGGTTCTGTTGGGGGTGCCCGGTGTGGGACATGGACGAGTGTGAACATGGGTCATGGAGATCTCTGTACCATGTGCATGTGCAACACTGATCACAAATTATAACAAATGAGAATATATGAAAGAATGAAAACTTCAGATAGTCGCACCGAGGTCTAATATTACAGTATAGGTCTAGTATTATAGTATAGGTCTAATATTACAGTATAGGTCTAATATTATAGCATAGGTCTAGTATTTTAATATAAATCTAATATTATAGTATAGGTCTAATATATGTCTAGTATGAGAGGTCTAGTGTTATAGTATACATCTAATATTATAGTATTGGTATAGTATAATAGTATAAATCTAGTATTATAAAACAGGTCCGGTGTTAAATATGTTCATGTGGTTTGCAGTAATCTTTACCACATATGAAATTCACCTGCCTACAGATCCTTATGGCCACTTAATATAACACAAGATACAGGTATGAGCTACCTTAAGTAGTTATTGATCAAGCCCCTATAAGTGTTACTAGTAACATGAACGACACCCCTATTGTTTACTGTAGCTTGTAACTGAAAGCACATATATTGTCAACAAACAGTTTTAACTTGTACATGTTCCTATTTAATTTAATTTATATTACAAGTGATACTGAAAACTTGAACACAGTCCCACAGTTTACAGTTCATTTATGAACAATAACATACACCATGCAGAAGGTTAATCTGGCCATTACGTGTTTTTCTAGCAGTTTTCAGCATCATAATATTTCTGATACATATATTTATGTCTGATGCATATATTGTATATGTAATTTTGGATAATTTCTGATATAGCTTGATCATTTAAGATTGACAGTGTGTTTATGGGTGGCAAGGTGTAGCAGTGGTTAGAGCTGTTGCCTCACACACACGCCTGAGTTCTTTCTGGGTGGAGTTTGAATGTTCTCCCTGTGCCTGCGCGGGATTTCTATGGGTATGCTGGTTTCCTCCCTCAGATGTTAAGCTGATTGGTAACTCTAAATTATTTTTAGGTATGAATGAGAGAGTGAATAGCTGTTTGTCTTGTTTGTCCTTATGATGGACTTGTGACCTGTCCAGAGTGTCCCCCCGCCTCGGGCTCAGTGACTGCTGGAGAGAGGCACCAGCTCATATGTTTATAGGGAATAATCTTGAAATAAATAGAGTTTAATGTGTCCGTTCCGTGTTGATGAGTCTGCGGTGTCTGAGACTCTTCATGTCCAGAGCTGACTCATTCCTCCCGTCTGTGATGACACGTCTGTGCAACTGATTGCTTCTTGTTTTAGTTGTCTGTGCATCCACAGGGAGATGATTTTAATTCATCACAGATCTTACTCTGCACTGCTTTTAGCATGTGGCAAATACCAAGCACTAAAGAAAGCAACACACACAGGGACATGGGGAGGTGGTTTGCATCAGACTCTTTGTATAATGTTTTTTTTTCTTTCCAAGTGATGAGCTATTTTTAAAAGCTTTACCTTCCAAGACTGAATCTGCTGTAAGAAAATGTGTGTGTGATTCAGAACCAAGGCTGCAGTTGTGAATTAGACTAGTACGTCTAAACGTCTTCAAACTGTGAAAGTGGTGCACGAGGGCGCAGTTAGAAATGATTTGTTTTCAGCTTCAATGAACCGACTTTTTGTTTCAAGGGGAGTATTTTTTAATGCCCATCCTACAGTCAAAACACTCTTTACATAAACTCTGCCACGGGCACTCAGTACGTGGGTTGCATCAAATATACTCCACATTCTGCTGTGCATGCACACATCCATACAACATTATGAATATATGTATAATTTTACATTATAAATGAAATACCACAGCAGTGTCAACAATAGTATTTCTTCTCTTTTTCTTTTTGCCAACAAATATGGCTGCTAGAACAACAAATAATCTCTGATATGAGTGTTATATATAACAAAGGAAGCAAAATTATAATCTGAAAGCTTTTGAGAACAGTGCGGAGCAGATGTAAAAGCAATCTGTGCAAGTGGAAATCCTTGCATGTGACGTCACTTTAATTAAGCAGCTTTTCAGATCTTGCTTCTCCCTAAAAAGCTGTGTTTTATATTTTAGCCAGCAGAGGGAGTAATGGTTCTTCTGGAAGCTGAATTCAAAGCTGGTTCCTTCTGCAGCCACAGAGCAACAAACTGTGGAAGCATTTCTCTGTGCAAAAAAAAAGAGTTTAATCCTAATTTGACAGTTTTGAGACTTGGAAGAACTTATTATCAACTATATGAATAATTTTGTATCCTGGAGGAACATAACTGCCAGTTAGAAACACATTTTGGACTTATTTATTGGTGTCTTTTGTTTTCTGGCAGCTTTTACCATCACTCACGTGTCAAAATGTGAGTATGACGTCGGCCTTTGACGCTTCATTTATGCTGGTTCGGCTCCACACCTGTGGCACAGTCAGTGGTGGAGAAAGTACTCAAACACTGTACTTAAGTAAAAGCGCAAATAATAGTAGAAAGTACAGATACTTAATGTAATATGCAGTGGAGTAAAAGTCAAAAGTACCCATGTTTAACTCTACTTAAGTAAAGTACAGATACATAAAAATATACTTAAGTACAGTAACAAAGTATTTGTACTTAGTTACATCCCACCACGGCACAGTATGGACCTGAGTCAGCTGCTTTGTCCTCATACGTCCTGACCTGAATAACCCTTGGAGGGGGCGGCAGCCTGAGCAGTTAACCAAGAACAGAACGTTACTGCATCCTTGTGCACACCAAGAGGCAAATGCTCACATCTCCATTAGGTGGTCCCAATAATCCAGAAGGAGATACTTTCCTGCCAAAGTCACTTTTTCTACCCGCATGCCGGTTGCCATGGTGACGCCTCGTGCATCAGTCAAAGCTGCTGGGGTGTGCGTTGGCTGGTGAAACCTATAAACAGTATTTTTGAGCTCCAGTAGACGACAAGGAAGACAAATTACTCCTCGCTCCAATCTCACCTCTTTTTTCATCTCTGTGGGTCCAGTCAGAGACACCCCCTCCCCCCCACCCACCCCCCACCATCATCACCAGCAGTCATTTACAGATCCCTTTCCACCTGGGCAAATACTCTTATGATTTGGATGTTCACTTGACATATTACAAAAGTGTTTTTTTTTTTTTTTTGGGGCATGCTGCTCTGAAATTGGACGCGATAGTGACAGCAGCAGGAGTCACATTCTTGCAGAAAATTTGGGGCTTTGAGCTGCAATTGTCCAGGGGATGATGCGGCTGCCAAGATAAGAGCAGCAGGCAGCTGAGAGATGGAGAGCTGCGGCTGCTGGAGTATCAGGAGCCATTACCCCAGCTCTTCTCCCATATAGTTTTGTCTCATAACAGTGGACTTGACATTAACGCT